CCTCACTCTGTTATCAAAGAACCGGGGTTTACATAACGTAACCCTACGTTTTATCTGAGACAACAATGCCCTCAGATTTGATTAAATTTGACAAGTTTGAGGACCTATTGGTATTTTCCATATTCTTGACAGTCTGCCAGAACTTTTTGGGGTCAGAACTACTCATCAGAAACTAGTTCTTATAATACTCAGATTTTGTTTTCTGATTGACTTGGTACATTTGTTTCTTATAGATCTGACGGATTGCCAGTCCCTGATATTCTTGGATGTCTTTGCCAAGATTGATGTTTTAGATGAATCGATTCTGAAAGTTCAGTGTTGATCCAGTGAATGAAATGATTTTTAACTCTAACTTTTTTAAACGAGCATGTCTATCTAAAATCAAGATAAGGGAGTTTTTTAAATGTGACCAAGCATCCTCAACAGTAGGAATGAGGTTAATTTTATGCCATTGTTCTTTCGCTAAGTCCAGTGAAAAGGCCTGCTCATTGACGTCTTTAAGCATTCGTTCACTGATAATTAGGGGAGGTTGCTTGATGTTTGCACCATTACGGACACAAGCAGTAATGCAATGGTCACTAAGGCTTTGGCAAAAAACTGCATATAGTATTTAGTAGTTCTGTTGGTGAGAATTTGATCAATTAATGTTCCAATTATTGAATAACTTATTGGTAAATCTATTCAGATTAGATCGTACCTGGCCAATAGGAAGAACTGTATGAGGGTGGGAGGTTTTCCCTCAGAATACTCTGATTAACCCTGGGGTGTACCACAGGGCTCAATATTGCGGCCTTTGTTGTTTTCTATTAACATCTTACCCCTAGGTGACATCTGTCATAATTTTTGGAGTCCACTTTCACCTTTATGCTGACAATTGCCATTTCTACTTGCCTCTGGACAAGTCAGGAGATCCCTCAATTTGTAATCTTATGAAATGTTTGACTGAGATCAAGACTTGGACGAGTGAAAATTTTTGTGCTTAAATTATCAGAAGACAGAGGCTGTATTGTTTGCTCCTAGTGGACATACACATTCCTCTCTAATTGACTGCGGGTCATTCAATGGCCAGCTGAGTGCTTCAGTGACTAATCTTGGTGTTAAACTAGACAGTGACCTTTGGTTTGACACCCACATTAATGGAGTGATCTCCTCCTCTTTCACCTTCGTCGGCTATCGAAGGTCAAACCATTCCTATCACGGCAGGACCTTGAGATGGTAGTCCATGCTTTTATTATGGTGTGGTTGGATTACTGTAACTCAGTTTTCTTTGGTGTGAGCAAGGGCTCAATATCCAGGTTGCAAATAGTAAAGAATGCTGCTGCCAGATTCTTAGACAGCAAGCATAAGCACGATCACATTACCCCTGTCCTGGCAGCCATTCACTGGCTGCCCGTTGATGTAAGGATTCATTTTAAGATTCTTTTGTATGTTTTTAAAACGTTGAATGGTCTGATGCCTCCTTACTTTGCGTCGTTGCTTCAGCCGCACACCCCTGCTTGGTCACTCCACTTGAAGAACCTTATGCTGCTCTCGGTCCCAAGATCGCGCCTAAAGACGTCTGGTGACAGGGCCTTTTCTGTGGCAGGTCCTAAGCTTTGGAACGAGCTTCCTCTCAGCTCAAGGGTCTCCATCTCTGTGGCGGGTTTTAAGGCAAGGCTGAAATCCTACTTTTATGATCTGTCTTTTAATCTTTCTAACTAGTTTTTATTGTTATTACTTAAGGTTTCGTTAGATTTTAGTGTTTTTAGTTTGTTTATCTGATCCATTGTTTTTATTCTTCCTTTATTTGACCCAATGTTTTTTATTCTTTTATGTTTTATTGATCTGTGAAGAGCCTTGGTGGCATGCTTTTTGCCTGTAAGGCGCTATATAAATAAAAGTTGAGTTTAGCTGAACCTAGTCGGAGATTGCACAATCTGGGAGAGGTTTAACCCTCTGGAGGCAGGTGTTGCAGATGTGCAACGTTAAACCCTGCCTACCTGGTTACTCCACATATGTATTTCATGAGCATTTTTAACTCAGAAGTACCCCTGAAGGACTTAGTTGTTCGTCCTTTTATCAGAACTTATTTTGAGCCTGAGTGGGTTAAAGCATGCAGCTCAAGTTGCAGGGAAATTGATGGCTTGGGCATGTCCCAGTTGGTTACCTAACCACAAGAATTCAGACAACAAGAATTCAGAGGAGGCGTAAGAGGAAATAAATTCACTGAGACCACCAGACAGGGCACAGGCAGAGGCAGATGGGGGTCTGCATCAGCAACCAGAGTAGTTTTATTGAGGGAGTAATTTTCAGTAAAAGCAGCTCCAAATGTTTGGGGAAGGATTTAGATAACATGACTGAACATTGCAAATGGTTTTTAAAGTAAATAGCAACCCCCCACCCTTGGACGGTCTATCCTGACAAAATATATTATAACCAGGGATAGACACGGCAGTCAGGCACTGACTTCTTCAGCCACGTCTCTGTAATGACTAAAATATCAGGTTTAGCTGTCTAAATTCTAAAGTGTTACAGCCAAGAAGGCAGAGGATGGTAGTCACTCAACTGTGGTTTTCTGGTTAAAAGTGCCCGGCAACCTCCGCTAGCTTTGGTTAGCTCAGTTAGCTCGTAGCTGCATCAGCTCAGAGTTTGATGGGTGTCAATCATCTGCCCCCACTCTCATAGCCTCTTTCTCAGCTGCAAATTGACACAGTGTGTGACTCGACTAAGTTGGCAGTAGTCGGAAACGCCCACTGAGCTCATTTCAGCTCTTGAGAAACCCACAAGTGATGGCACGGAGGCTCCAGCCATTTTGTATATAGATTCTATTGTTACAACCCAGACAGGAAACTAATGGCGCTTACAGATTAGCGTTGGCACGGCCGGGGTTTGGTGGGGCTGGATGGCGTGAGTTCGGTCTCAAACAGGAGGTGTAGTTTTCACATTTTAATCCGAAGGACCTCTCAAGAATGCAACAATTCCAGAGCCCGTGGGTGGTGTTTAATACACGCAGGAAAGTTTGCGGTGTCCTCCATTATAAGATAAACAAAGGCGGGAATGAGCTGTGTTGCTTTGGGAGACACACACACTGCTTTCTCCACTGAGCAGCTGTCTGTCTGCTCGCTGCAGCTGTTACACACCTGCTTAGACTCTATCAAAACCTGGATGGTGGGAGCGTTCTTCAGCTGAATGAAGATAAGACTGAGCTCCTCATCTGTGCCCCAGACAAGCTGGTTCCCAAAGTCAGAGACTCTTGGTCTGCTTGCTTCCCACACCAAACCTTCTGTCAGGAATCTTGGTGTGACCTTTGACCCAGCTCTCACCCTGGATTCTCATGTCAGTTCTCTTGTTCGCTCTTCCTTCTTCCATCTCAGGAACGTTGCTAAGCTGAGTCCCATTCTGTCTCGCTCTGAACTTGAGACAGTTCTCCACACCTTCATCTCCTCATGCTTAGACTACTGTAACTCTCTTTTCACGTGTCTGAGCAGAACCTCCCTGAACCGTCTACAGGTGGTTCAGAATGCCTGTGCTCGGCTTCTGACCAAGTCCTCCAAACACACCCACATCACCCCGCTTCTCCTCCAGCTTCACTGGCTTCCAGTCAACTTCAGGGTTCATTTCAAGATCCTGGTTCTGGTCTATAGGGCCTTACATGGACAAGCACCATCTTACATTGGTGATCTTCTTAGTCCCTACACCCCCAGCAGGTCCCTGAGGTCCAGTGACCAAAGCCTACTGGTTGTGCAGCTCCAGGCTAAAGGTCAAAGGTGACAGATCATCTGCTGCTGTGGCCCCCAGACACTGGACCTCTCTCCCCCTGAGCCTGAGATCAGTGGACTCAGTGGTCTCCTTTAAGAAGCAGCTGAAGACTCATGTTCAGAATTAGGTGTGACCTTCATCTCCACCCTCTACTTATTCTGCTCTTATTTCACCTTTCCCGAGATCCACTGATTTCCCTCTTTCCTATTTGTTTTCTCTCTCCCGTTCTTTACATTATTATAATTTTTTTTAATCTCAATTTAAATTGTTTTTGTCTCATTTTAACCCTTTGATGCATAATGGTCACTATAGTGGACAGGTACTCAAAACTGTTATTTATTTGTTTTGCTATTAAGCACAGCTGTTGAAGACTTAATTGCATTTGAGCCCCTCCATTTGGACTTCAGTAAGCCAAGCCAACATATTTCATGCTCAGAATGCACGCTGTCCACTGAGGTGGACACGTAATAAATTATTTGTAAATTATAAAATTTTACAAAAAAAATTTGTTGAAATTTGTTTCATTCTCACCTAAAGACGAATGACAAAAATTGTTTAAAAAGGGTTAAACATATTTTAAATCTTTTCTGTACTTTAAATGAAATATTTTTTCGTGAAGCTCCTCGTGATTTTTATATTTAGAGGCGCTATAGAAAAGATCGTTTTCTTTCTTTCTTCTTTCGCCTGGGTGAGAGCTCTGATGCAGAGGACACGCACACGCACACACACACACACACACACACACACACACACGCACGCACGCACGCACGCACGCACGCACGCACGCGCACGCACACACACACACACACACAGACACACACACACACACACACACACACACACAGACACACACACACACACACACACACACACACACACACCTCACTCTCCCGTTCCCACTGTTTGGCAGCTCTGTGCTTCAGACAGAGAAGTTTACTTAACAACGTCCAGCATGAATAAGTTGCACAAGCAGGAACCCCCGCTGGCTGACTCTACTTGCCAGTCGGAGGCGGTGTGCGTAATTTCAGCCAGCCAATCAGTCCGCAGCGTCACCTCAGTCCCAGTCTGGGAGGAGGTCTGAAAAAAAAAAGAATCGCCTCGGAATCGAAAAAGCAAATCTGACCTGTGTGTGAAACCAAATTCCGATCCTATAAGGTACCGTAACAACGCTAATGTGTAAGCGCCATAAAGAAACAAGACTTTAGTTCTGAGTGGATGTAAGGATATCTGAAGCTTTTGTAGCTGGGGTTTTTTACTCTTACCTGCAGCAGACAGCCAACAGGAACAGAGCAATGGCTGTGAGGTCACACTTGTTCCAAATATCTTGGATGTAGATCTTCAGACTTTTTAGCACCAACAAATCGCTCACAGAGAAGGACTGGACAGGAGGAGAGAAAATACAGGAGTTGCTGACAAATCCAATTGATTTGTTCATTTTTAACGTGTGTGTGCTGGTGGATAAACAGCTAACCTGTCGAATCTCTTCACACACTAAGGTGAAAACCCAGAAGTAAAGAACTAATTCCAGACAGGAGGGGCCATCAGGGTACGGGGGCTGGAAGTCGACCAATAGAACGTAGGCAAACAGACATAGGAAGAGGAAGTACATCAGCACGTTTCCCAGGAAGGAAGTGACAGGCGCGTACCAGAACTGTTTCCACCTCAACACAATGAACTGGCAATTGTAGCTGGGTGGCATAGAATCTGGTAAAAATAAAGTAAATGAGTGAAAACGGGTAGAAGTCACCTGAGCAGCCAACACACCCAACCATCAAGCAACATCAGAACATCCATCCTAACCCACCATGTTTTTGTCTTTTCAGTGGTCGTTTCTCTTCTGCTTCGTCTTCACTGTGACAAACCAGACAACCACAGAGTTCAGTCAGGAACAACAAACCCAACATGATGCTCTGATCCGTGTGGATGTGTGTGTTTACTTCTGTGTAACGTCAAAAAGAGAGAGGGCGGTGTCCCCTTTTGAGATGCCCGCAGGGATAGTCAGCGGTTTAGCCTCCTCCTCTCGTTCCCTGCAACACAAACGTGACTCATTACCCTATGGCAAGCCAAACACCCTGGCTAACAAACAATACACAGCTAGTTTCTACACATTCTGCTTCCAGGGACCAACATTTCTCATAATGTTTCTAATTAAGGGTTACTGAAGGTCTTTCAAAGGTAGTTTTCAACCAGGATTAAACAAGCCAAGGTTTTAGTATTACAGCACAGCAGAACAAAGCCAGAGGCCTGACCTGAAGCTGATCAGGCCTGTGTAGATGAGGGGGGGCAGGAAGAAGGTGAGTACAAGCTTCCAGACTTTGGTACTCCTCTGCATGTCTCCCCACCAGATCTGAGACAGCAGAGTCTACAGCAACGAAACACAACAACCAACAGACAACCTCAGACACACAGCCTTCATCAAACCGATGGAAGATGATAAAAGATTGTCTGGAACTTTTCTGGTCTGTAACAACATCCTGTCCTGTGTACTCATACCAGACTTCTCCCTACTGGTTTACCTGGACACCATCATGGCTGAAGAAGTGACGGGCGTCAGCTACTATGGCCATCTGCAGACACGTAGCTCCGCCCCACACAGGTGACTTTTTAATCAGGAGGGTGAAGGAGCGACTCTCGCTGCTCTGGTAACACTCAGCAAACACATCTGCAAAAATGAAATCAGCTGTTTTGGAGCAGCGTGGTGTGTGTGACAGCAGGAAGACCGGCTGATGATGAGGGACTATAACTCCACCGGGTTTAGCTAGCCTCTCATCCTGTGGGAACAGATCCCTACGCCTCTACTGTAGGAAAGTGTCAGGCGTACGTTTCCTGGATTTAAGTTTACCATTTGCCAGGTTTTCAAACTTCTGGGCCAGTTTCTTCATGGCCTGCTTGCTCTCAGTCTCATGCTCAAGCTTTGAAAGCTCTCTGAGGATCTTACAGCCTCCAAGAGCGCTCAGCACTGACTCCAAGGCCTGAAAAGAAGCAAAGATAAACTCACTGACATAAACCAGACTGCATGGCAGACACAACAGTTTTCAGGCTACATTCTACCAAGAAACCTCCCCCCAGAAAACCAGCATGTTCCTATTAAAGGTCCTGTTGAGCCTTTGCACATGACATTGCACCGGAAATGGGACCGCCTATTAGCAATGATGGACGACAAAGCAACTGTTTATGCACGTAGAAACTCCTGTGCAGCTAGTCAACACAAGCCAGGCTGTAGCAGTAAAACGGTAATAGGGTGCTGTGTGGTCGGCTGCACTAACAGATCAGGGTGTAAACTTTGATGGAGACAGAATACAGGAATGAACTACAGCGATAATGGACTAGCTGCCCTCAAAATATTTAGAGATTTGCAGCAAGCACGTTTTACTGGGTAAGATCAGCTTTCATGAGACAGACTGTGATGGAGCTGAAAAGAGAAACATGATGCGTTTACATTAATTATTTATAATCCTATATTTCACCACGGAGGATAAGTGTTACCATCCACTATAGTGAAGTGTGAGATAATTATTTGTTATAATGATATTGTTCCAATGTTTGTTGTCTGAGTGCAGAGCTGTCAGTCAGTTTGGTTACCTTGACAACACGTGGAAGTTTGAGGAGCAGCGTAGGGGAGGTTCTGGGGGTTGTTGTACTTGTCAATAATTGAATATGGACTGGAGTCAAGTTTGCGCAGCGTGTCTGTGGCTCTATAAATGGTCCCAGATCTCAGTGTAGCTCCAGAAGGATCTCCTTCAGGAATCAGATCAGAGTGCTCACACGGAGGGTGTGTTCCCTCTAGAGTGCATGCTCTGCCAAATCCTCCTATAACACCAGATCAGCCATGCTACAATGTCCGATTGCCGTCAGCCATAGGTTTGTTTGATTGGTTTTAGCACCAATTATGGAAAAAAGTTGTTTTTCCACCAAAGTAATTATTTATTGGGTAAAATAATCAGTGGATGAGAAACATGTTGACGACTGAGACCTTCAGTATTGCGATTTCCCAGTTCTACCTCTAGAAGTTGTTCCTACACATGGTCAGAAGTTTTCTTATATTTAGGAACTTTTCCACGCACAAGTACAAAATGATGAATACTACACAACGCATACTTTGTTCCTAAGCACGCAATACGCGCAGATCTGCGCATAAGTACAGTTGATGAATGAGGCCTCGGTATTTTGGCCGTTTGAGTGAACAATCTACATTTTGTTCGCAGGAAAGAATATAGGACAGGTTCTATGAACGAGGTCCCTGGAATTCGTTACCAGCTCAGCTGCCTTTTCTCGGCAGGTCAACCCGTGAACAGAGCGTTCTCCGTGGGAGGCTTAGTGGACGGATCATGCTGGCGTTAAACATGCAGTGAGTGTGAATCTGTGGTCTACGGCTGCGTACAATTTAGGGTTTCTCACATGTGGAGGGGGGGGGGGGGGGGGGGTCATTGACTAAAACTGCTTTATTTCCAGGTGTAAGGAATGGCTCACAAAACCAACGATAATGTTTCATCATATATTGTGCCTACCTTTGCTCCGGAAGGTGCAAAATATCATGATACAGGTCCTTCTAAAATGTACAACATAAGACAGGAGCCTCACCATTTCCCAGAAATAAATGGCCATTTCTCTGCGGTTTTGTAAGATGGCCCAGATAAAGAGTGCTGCCCAGGGTAAGGGGCACTGCATGTCCCGGTACTCACAACCACCTTGATGCAGTTTGTTGATATGCTGGGGTTAGGAAGAGACAGAACAGTCCCAGTCAGAATAAAGCTGAGCATCAGATACACACAACTGTGGTCCATGTGGAGTCTGAAAATTAACTTTGACACAAACTTTGGTGACAAAAAAAGACTCCAAAATGCATTAATTATTGTACAAAATTGTTTTTTTAGCGCCCAGTCTAGATGGGTCTCAATCAGTTGTTTGGAGTCCCATTCTATTTTTACTGTTTTGGCAGAATACTACAATTACATTTACAACCAGTCAAAAGCCTGGAGCTGGAGATGATTGTCTTAAAACATAAGCTACAAACAATCATAAAACCTGATGGATTTTTTCTGAAACAGGCTTGAGTGACCTCCTGTCCACTGACCTTTTGAGCCTTCCTAGTCGTGAAGCTGGCGTCAAAACCAAGGGGTTTAGCATAGAAAGGCTGACAGACGTCACCTAACAGATCTGACAGCAGGCGGGACACCTGCAGCAAGAAGACACACATTAATAAGGTCAGGAACGAAATTTGAATACTTTGAATTTTTGAGTGTTCACAAGGGAGTACCACAGGGTTCAGTTTCGGGACCCCTCTTGTTCATTAAGTATATTATTGATATAGGACAAAATGTGTCGGATGCTATTGTGCACTTTTACACTGATAACACAATCATTTACTGTTTTGGAACATCCCCCACTAAAGCTGTTGAATTCTTACAGAAACCTTTTAATGAGGTCCAACAAACACTTCTGCAGTTAAAATTGGTCCTCAGTGCTGACAAGACTAAGCTAATTATGTTTTCAAACTCTACAGAAAGACCTCTAAGTATGCCCTCAGTGACCACTCTTGAGGGAAATGTAATAGAGAGGGTCCACACATACAAATACTTTGGTGTCTATCTCAATGAGTACCTCTCCTTCAAACCCCATATTGAAAATCTTGTGAACAAACTCAAACTCAGGCTGGGTTTCTTTTTTCAAAATAAAGTGTTTTTCTTTTAAGGCAAAAAAAAAAAACTAGTTACTGCAACATTTCTGTGTATTCTGGATTATGGAGACCTTTTGTATATGAATGCCTCAGCAGTGTCTTGGTAAGATTGATGTAGTTTATTATGCCATGCTGAGGTTTATTACTAACTGTAGACCCAGTGGTAGACTCATGGTGAATTGTATCCTCGAGTGGGATGGCCTTCTTTATCCACCAGGAGGTTGGGACATTGGTACACCTTCATTTATAAGGCCATTCTTAGATTACTGTGTGAAGTGTAACTTCTCAGTCTGCGAGAAAAGGATTAGTTGTTACTTTGTGTTCCGTTTGCTCGCTCCGAACTGGGCAAAAGGGCTTTTGTTCACTCTGCTCCTTCTGCATGGAACAGGCTGCAGGAAAACTGGAAATTAACAGAGTTCATCTTCTTGACTACATTTAAAACCAGACAGAGAGCCCTTGAGATGGATTCCCTGTGTTGTAACTGCCTTCTGTAATTTTGTACATAAAATGTGTAACTGAAAGACTTGTAACTGTAACTGTAACCTCTTGGCCAGGACTCCCTTGAAAATGAGGTTTTACTCTTAATGGGACCTTCCTGGTTAAATAAAGAATAATTAAATAAAAAGTAACCGAAGAAATGCATCTTTAAATAATTTGGTTGGAATTGGTTCTAAAACACAAGTAGAAGGTTTAGATGAAGCTGATATTTTTGATAACTCTGAAAGCTCAACTGAATCAAAACGGTTCTAACACAGATGAGGTTCTACAGTTACCTCTGATGCTGCTTCACTTACTTAGGACAAAGAGATCATGTTAGGGAGGATGCTAATGATTTTGTTTCCTAAAGAATCAAATAAAATGTAATGTGTGGAACATGAGGTCTGAAAAAAGGTGGACCTGGTTCTCCTTACCTCATAGAGGCTGAGATCCTTCAGGGACGTAGTTGTAGTTAATGCACTCTGGGAATCCTTCTGAGGCTCTGCAGCTCTAGCCATGGAGAGATGGGACCCAGCCAGTTCCAGTCTTTCATTCAGACGTTTCTTCAGAAGAGCGTAAGCCAGCGAGCTATCTGACAGTGAGCGGTACAAGTTCTCCAAGCGCCCGTATGTCAGATAATCCAGAATGTTGAGACCGTTCTCACAGAAGAGACGCACAAACTGGGGCTTGTTATTGATCAGAGCATCTGTCATGGAGTCCTCCAGGTCCTTATACTGAAAGTGAGATTAACTGATCAAAACTCCTCTGAACCATGACTTTCTACAGCGTAACATGAAGCTGAAACTCTAAGCTTTAGTGCTCCAAGCAAAGTTTTACAGCCCTAACCCAGTATAGAGAGAAGGTGAATAGTGACATTCAGGGGTGAAAGAACAGAAATGTCCAGTAATCACTATGAGCACCACATGTCAGGAATCATTAAAGGTGTTATCACTTTAATTTTTATTGATAAGACAAATGATAAACACACCGTCCACTGGATGCTTCCATTAAAAAGTTCAGCTTTAGCGATGTCCACTCGGTTCCAGGCCACAGCCAGGTTCAGCTCATCCACGTACTCACTCGCCTTACTAGACACATGTTTACTGCCTACACACACACACACACACACACACACACACACACGCACGCGCGCGCACACGCACGCACGCACGCACACACACACACACACACACACTCAGAAAAATATACAATATACACTTCAAACACTTCCTGAAAATAGTTTTCTACAAGAATTCACGTGGTGCACCACACTGATGTGGAACAGAGCTTGTGTAATGAATACGCACCAGAATGGTGTGTCCTTGTACATTTGTGTAGGGGGTGCCTAGTAGTGAATGTACCACCAGTTTAACCTGTTCTGCTGTATTGTAGCTAATGCTATGTTACACAGCATGTTACTTGATGGTGAATTACTGAGTCTACAGCACATTGTCCGTTTTCCTGTTTATTCCTGCATAAATTCCAGGGAGAAGCGCTACAGTAGCTAGGTGTCCAGCAGACAACGTCAGAAACATCAGTAATGTGCCCCTGAAGCTGAAAAAGTGCATAAATAATGGTAATGGTAAAAAGAAAGACCTTTATTGTCTCGAGGGAAATTATTTTGTCATGAGCATGCTCAGTGCAACAAGAAGGTCAGATTTAGGACAATAACATCAAATAGCTAAGTAGAATGGGGATGTGACAAACACACAGGAAGAATCAACTACAGAAGGAGGAAGAGTTAAGGTTGGTTTATGCTTGATGCGTCCGCGAGGTCCGCACGGCTCCGCGCAGTAAAGTTGCGTCATTTTAACAACCACGCCCCTCCACCGCGCCTCCGCACAGCCCAAAATTTCCGCACCGCGCACCTAGGAAATTTTCTAACCACGCGGACGGTCGGACGCGGAAAAACATGGCGGACTGGCAAGAACTAGTATGGCAGAGTTTCGTAAATACTGGCATTTGTATGATTCAGCTCTCAAAGATCACTGTGATCAACATGTTGTTAATAATTCTTGGAGAGAAATAGCTCGCACTGTCGGAAAAGACGAGGACGCTGTTAAAAAATGCTGGAATGCCATGTTGTAAACAACAGTAATTTCTACTTCTACTATGGTGTAGTGTTGGATGCATGCCGTAGAGCTCCATGCTGCCCCCTACAGTTTGGGAGAATATTGGCTCACCGCAGAGAAAAGCCGCATGAACCATAAACTCTGCAAGTTGTGAAGCGCGCTCCATCCGTGAGCCGCATCACCACGCGGAAAGTAAATGCATCAAGCATAAACCAAGCTTTATGCAGCCTAATGTTACAGGCAGAAAGGATTTTCTGTGTTGTTCAGTTCTGCATTTGCATATGAACTGTTGATTCAACACATTTCTGTTTAAAAAGCTCCAATTCACAACAAGAGTCATCTCGAGTCACTTTAGAAAACAAACACTCCAAATGAAAATACTTATCATTGCACCACTTCATTATTCCAATTAGGGCTGGGCGATATGGACCAAAACCTATATCTCGATATATTTTAGCTGAATTCTGATACGCTAAATATATCTAAATAGTTTTTCCTCCTGTAAAATATTGACTACTGAACTCCCTTCAAGTAGTCTTGGGAAATTATATACATGACCTCATCAGCAGATTAAATACATATAAATGTATTCATTCTTGTCCAACATTAGCCTTAGTGTCTATTCTCTATCAGTTTGAGCTTTGGATACACTGGCACAGCTGTCTGTTAGCACACATGTAGGTTTATATCTTTATGTGATTTAAATGGTTCATTTTTATACTGTATTTGTAACTGTTTTTAATGTAAACCGGACCTTGACTCTGCATTAAAATATCTATCTATCTATTGAAAGAAAATACATAATGTTAGATCACACATGAAACTTACAATTCATCATCTGTATTTCAATCTTTATAATTTCAGTATTCTTACGGTACTTTTAAACTGAATGATCTATACACGTTAAGTGCTTGTTGATCCTGAATGATTCACTTGTGGTCGGTACACCCTGGGTACACCCTAGCACTAGCACTGAGTTCTATCCATATTTGATTTATGAATGTTTATTTTACTAAGATTTCAGCGCATGGATGAGGAGCCGCAGGCTTTGTGATGGCCAGGTACCACTTAGATCAACTAAAATAGGTTCAAAGGGAAAAAGTCAGGCATTCCAAAGGAATCTGGGTAAATAAAGTGTGGATGATTGAAATACAAGGCGACTGGTGGCTCACTTCTTGCTGATCAGAGATTTTAATGAAAAGAGAAGGTGGAAAACTTTTTGAGGAGTTACAGAGGACCAGAGACGACATCTTTTTCTTCAACATAATTTTTCCTTTTACCTGTCCATGTGGCAGGGGTTAGGTGGTGCTCACACCTCACCCTTGCCACATGGACCTCAAGGGACAAACCATCAGTCCTGCTCAATGGTCAAGTTTCCTCACGGGGTCACACCCATTAGGACAGTGGGAGGGTTAACCCTAACGCCCCCCAACTGGGGGCTTCTACAGTTCCATGTCCCAAACATCTACAGCTGTCCACATTCTCCAAACACAACTCAAACCACAACCAAACAGCCCAGATGGGAAACAAGGCCATTTTAAACTGTAATAAATTAAGATACAATGATGATTGAACTTTATTTTAGAAGAGCATCTGACCTTCTCTGGTGTCTTCTGGAAAAAAAAAACCCTTGAACAAATGTAGTTGAGGACCCCTGGAATAAATAAAACAATGGACTAAATTTCCTAAATGGAATTTGAACTCACAACCTCCATCCTGTCAGCACTTTCACACAGGGCAGCTCTTCTAAAATAAAGTTCAAGTATTATTTTATCTTAATGTATTAAAATTTTAAAAATTGCTTTGTTTACAGTCTAAACTGGTTTGATTGTAGTTGTGATTGGGGAATGTAAACAATTACTGATATTTGGGACATGAAACTTTAAAGGCCCCAATTGGGAGGCGTTAGGGCCCAAAGAAAAAAGGTCTAGGGTCCGTAACATTCATCACATCAATATTATTCCACATTGGTTACTGCCCCCATTCTAGATATAATCAATCTATCCTTAGTTAATGGGTATGTACTACAAGATTTTAAGGTTGCTGTAATCAAACCTTCACTTAAGAAGCCTTCTCTGGATCCAGATGACCCAATGAATGATAGACCAATATCTAACCTTCCATTTTTATCCAAAGTCCTGGAGAAAATAGTGGCCATCCAAGTATGTCAGCATTTAAACACTAATGCTCTGTTTGAGGATTTTCAGCCTGGTTTTAGAGAGTATCACAGCACTGAAACTGCATTAGTGAGAGTTACAAATGATATTCTCATGGCCTCAGATAAGAATCTTGTGTCTGTTCTAGTCTTGTTAGATCTCAGTGCTGCTTTTGACACAGTTGATCACAATGTTCTTGTAGAAAGACTTGAACATGTTGTAGGGATCAAAGGAACAGCGTTAGGCTGGTTTAAATCCTACCTGTCTGACAGATTTCATTTTGTAAATGTACATGACAAATCTTCTTCATACTCCAGGGTTACTTGCGGAGTACCACAGGGTTCAGTGCTTGGACCAATTCTTTTTACTATATATATGCTCCCAATTGGTAAAATCATTAGACAGCATGGGATAAACTTCCACTGTTATGCTGACGATACTCAGCTATATTTATCCATTAACCCTGATGAACCTAATCGGTTAGGTAGATTACAGGCTTGTCTTGAGGACATAAAAAATTGGATGACTCTAAACTTTTTGCTTTTAAATCAAGACAAGACGGAAGTTCTCATCTTTGGACCAGAAATCCAGAAAAGGAAATTGCTTAGCCAATCGCCTGACCTTAATGGCATTACATTAATCTCCGAGAACAAAGCAAGGAACCTTGGTGTTATCTTTGACCAGGACATGTCATTCAAATCCCAGGTTTCACAAGTTTGTCGGATTTCCTTTTTCCACCTTCGGAATATTGCTAAGATTAGAAGCATACTTTCCAGGAGTGATGCTGAAAAAATAGTTCATGCATTTATTACATCAAGACTGGATTACTGTAATTCATTACTCTCAGGAAGTCCACAGAATGTAGTTAAAAAACTTCAGCTTGTCCAAAATGCTGCAGCTAGAGTTCTGATGAGAATTAGAAAGAGAGATCATATCTCTCCTGTCTTAGCTTCCCTACATTGGCTACCTGTTAAATTCAGAATAGATTTTAAGATCCTTCTTCTCACATATAAAGCTCTTAATAATCAAGGTCCATCATACATCAGTAATCTGATTGTTCCATACGTTCCTAACCGATCACTTCGCTCTCAGACTGCAGGTCTACTGGTGGTTCCAAGAATATCTAAACTTAGGATGGGAGGCAGATCTTTTAGTTATCAGGCTCCTCTCCTGTGGAACCAGCTCCCAGCTTCAGTCCGTGAGGCAGACACTTTGTCTACTTTTAAGAATAGGCTTAAAACATTTTTATTTGATAGGGCCTATAGTTAAAATCTGATGTTAGCCTAAATCTGGACAAGTGGGGGAGTAGAGGGAGGTGGAGTGTACAGTCGGTAAAGACGGCTCTCCCTTGCCCTGCCTCCAACATGCCTACATCTAAATAGGATACATTATCCAGAGTTATCTCTGTAGTTATGCTGCTATAGGCTTAGACTGCTGGAGGACACACTGACCACTTTTCACACTCTACTGCTTTATTCTACAGTCTGCTCTTTAACTGTACTATTTTGTGCAATTTCAGCTGTTAACTTTATTTTCTCTGTAAGTGTTTTTCTCCCCAGAAGAAGCTACAATGATGTTCTGCTGAGCTGTGGTGGCCTCATGGAGGGGGCCATCGACTAGCACACTGCTGCTAACCAATAATACATTCTCTCTCTCCTGATAATAATTTTTTTGTTTTCATTGACTTTTGATGTGCTAATACTAGTTTATCCGTTTAATTATAGATCCACTAGGATAAATACAATAAAGTTTATCTTTCACCAAATACAATATTTACTAAGACATCACAATATAACTATAGACACATTACTTGTGTGTGCGTGTGTGTGTGTGCGTGTGTGCGTGTGCGTGTGCGTGTGCGTGTGCGTGTGCGTGTGCGTGTGTGTGTGCGTGTGTGTGTGTGTGTGTGTGTGTGTGTGTGTGTGTGTGTGTGTGTGTGTGTGTGTGTGTGTGTGTGTGTGTGTGTGTGTGTGTGTGTGTGTGTGTGTGTGTGTGTGTGTGTGTCTGCCTGCTCTGTCTTCTCGATCCCCAGTGAGTCGTGGAGGATGGCTGCTTATACTGAGCCAGGATTCTCTGGAGGTTTCTTCCTGTTAAAAGGGAGTTTTCCTCTCCACTGTCACTGCATGCTTGCTTAGTATGAGGAGTGCTGTATAGTCACTGACACTAATCAGTGACTTGATGCAATTTGCTGGGTTCCTTATATAGGAAACATTATTTCTGATTGGCTTAATGAAATGTGAATTGGAATGTTTATTATGTGAAGTGCCTTGAGACGACTCTTGTCGTGATTTGGCGCTATATAAATAAACTTGAATTGAATTGAACTTGAATCTCTATCTCTATTTGCATCCACTGCTCAGAGGATTACACTCCCGTATTTATTTATTTTTGGCTCTCCATAGCTGTTTCCTGACTGCGCGGGGGCGGGTTTGGCCCGTGACCGTCTCTCTACACAGCCGGACAACAGAACTGTGGTCAGCAGCCACGGTCAAAGGGCCAGCTGAAACGCAAGCGGCTTAACTAGTTATATCGACATGAAGTCTTCTTGTTTGAAAGTATATTACTTTCAAATATGGATATATTGCCCAGCCCTAATTCCAATGAGTTAAAACTTTTCTCTGTAAGGAACCCAATCAGATTACTTCACTGGAAAGAATTTTCCATCCTGATCCAGAACCCGACTTCATCACATTTCTAATACTCCGCTGCAGGGGCGGATTTAGGACTGAAGAAGATCCGGGGCTTAACACACACGCGCGCGCACACACACGCGCGCGCACGCGCACACACACGCATGCGCGCACACACGTGACACGCACTAGTCAACATCATATATATATATATCTTGTACCACATAATGTTTAATCTGAAGCTACATATTCAGCATATTCAGGGCAGAGTATTGTTCCTGTTAGTGTTTAGTGTGAGATGATAGTGAATATTCCCTTTCTTTCTCCAACAACTTTACCTGATAGTAAGCTAACTTTAGGCAAACCAGCAGCACAACAAATATTTTCAAATAAGACTCACAAACCTGAGTCAACACCAGTCTCATCAGAGCTGGGGTTCTGTCGTTGTACTTTTGGTCTAAAAAAACGTCCTTATATCCATCTTCACTCATGCGTTTCAGACAGAGACTGCAGAAGCCAGCTGCTGAAGGGCTTCTCTTCAGTCTCAGGTAAACTGTATACTGACTAAGTAGCCTAGTGGTAGAGTGTCTGCCCTGAGATCGGGAGATCAGGGGTTCGACTCCTGGTCGGGTCATACCAAAGATTTTGAGAAAAATGGGACCCAATGCCTCCCTGCTTGACACTCAGCATTGGATTGGGGTTGGATTGGGGGGTTAAACCACCAAATAGTTCCCGAGCGCGGCGTGTCTGCAACTCAGGGGATGGGTCAAAATCGGAGAATAAATTTCACCACACACCTGTGTGTGTGACGACTAAATGGGACTTTACAAACTACTGCCAGCTGCGCCCTCTCTGTGTGACTTTGGTACTGCATGTTACTTCCGCGATTTAGATCCGGGGCTTATCATGAAAGATCCGGGGCTTCAGCCCAAGTAGCCGGGCCTAACGCCGCCCCTGCTCCGCTGACTAAAGCAGACTGGTGGTGTATTCACCTACATCTCTTTATTAACCACGGTTTCTATCAGTGTTTTTTTTCTTGCTTAACCCACAGCGTAGTAAATTTTTAATTACCCACAGTTAGAAACACAAAGAATTCACCAAGGAGTTTCTATCTGTGACTTACAAAAAACTTGATTTCTGTTGGGATACTTTCTTGTTCTTTTATGTTGAGATTAGTCTTTAATGTCATGTCTTACTTTCAGACACAGCACAAACACGTTTTGGGTACCTTTCACGAGGGCTTTGAGGAGAACTGTGTCAAAGTCATCAGGACTCTCCTGTTCTCCTTGGAAAACAGTGATCAGGTCTTTGTTCCGATAAATACTCAGAGCCTGAAAACACATAATGATCAGAACACAGAAGGATCAAACAGAACCACGGCACTGTTTACTGGGTTGATAATATTGGTAACACTGGAGATTTAGTAAAGTATCACAGAAACAAGGTCTGCAAAGAAGATGAAAGACACTCCAGAAGCTAGCAGAACCCCTAAGAACATTTGACAGACCGAGCCCCCCCAGACTCACATAGTCCACCAGGTTCTTCAGTGCAGCCTCATCTGGGAAATGTTTCCGGACGTGCTCACAGACCCGGTCACGAAACTCTGAGCTGAGACCTTCAGACGCCTCGGCTGCTGCTGTCAAAGAGGCAGGAGAATGCCCCGCAACTGGGAGGGTGTTTACCAGGTCACTGATGAAGTCTGCTGCTGGACCAGAACCATCCAGAACCAGCCAGGGTGTATTTGTCTTTAGAGACCTGTCTAACCTCTGAATCAAAGACAGAAGAGAGAACAGAATGGCTTTAACACCTAAAGAGTGGCAAAAAACAAGACACATTTCCACCTGGCTCAGTGAAAATTACCTGAGATCACCATGAAAACATTTGAAGGGCTGCTGATGTCACACATCCAGATCACCCAGACCCAGATCTACCTCAGTACCAGCTCCTCAACGTGCCAGAAGAAAGAGCTGCCTTCATCGGGAGCAGGAGGCAGGCTCAGGGTGGCCAACAACCAATAAAAATGTGGATTGTTCCTGGGTTAGTCTGATTTATTTGAGACTAAATCCTCTAAAAGCACAGAGGCCTTCTGTCTCCATTTTCAGCTGAATAATAAACTGTTTCAAATGCTGCTTATAAGCGTCTTCACCTATAACATCACCAGCTGGTGCTTTAGGTCCTGTTCACAGCAGTGGTTAACAATAAACAGAGTTCCTATTCCTAAAAGTCCAAGCGGACCAGCCAGTGGCCTGGAGAAGACACAGGAGTCCCTTCTAGAGAAAACGATAAACCAGAGAGTGGAGACGAATCCACAGCTCTCTCCCTACAAGATCCTGATGGACTTCTGTTGCTGATCTGCTCAGAAACACGGATCAGCATGTAGAGTTCTGATAGACCCACTTACAGACATCTGGCCATGATGTTTCAAGTTATAACCGAGTTAAAGACTCTTAGGCCAAGATAAACTCACCCATCCCAAACCTCCTTGTCTCTGTTTGTGAAGGGTAGTTTTACATTTGCCACAATCCCAAGAAGAATCAACTTCCAGTACAGAGCATAAATTATGTTGTTTTTTTTTTCTCGGGAGAGGAGGACCAAGCAAAACTGCAGAACTAGAAGAGATCCCAGGCCAGATCCGATTCTCAGAAATGATGTTGAACCACTCCCTGAAATATTCAACCTGTTTTTGCATCTAGTTTTCTAGATTGTGCCGAACATCAGCACCTCCTCTTTGAATGAGAAGCAGACCACAGAAAAGGTATTTAGTGATTTAAAATACAGACTCCATCCCAGACACACATCAGGATTCCTACTGACCTAGTAGATCCTAAGAGCACCTGGCCCTTCGAACCAAACTCGGTCATCTGGAAACTCAGAGCACGTATGCAAAGACGCTATTTAAGAATTAAAAGCTCCTTCTTGTCTACCATCACCTTGAGCACTGGTGTTCCACAAGGTTGTGTACCAAGTCCCACCATGCCATCGTGTGTTTGAGTCTCTGCATCCAAACCCAGCACCTTATTTTTGTAATAACAAAAACACTACTTTCACCCCAGTAACACAACTGTGTGGATTGTTTTATTATATTCTTTTCTAACCTAATTAAGGGAAGGAGCCAGAGACCAATCAGATTGTTTTAGGATTACTCAAAAAAGACAAATTATAGACTGGCTAGAGGGATTCAGTCGGTGTCATAATGATGAAGGATTCGTAAGGTAAGTGACACATAATGGTTGGCTAGAGAGTTATCAGGTTACAGGAGTAGAGTAAGAGAGTACTGATGGAGTTCCTCACCTCCAGCGTGCTGGCGTCTCCTGAGATAAGCATGCAAAGCACTGGGATTTCAATATTGCCACTACCTGTGGTTGGACCAAGATGAGAGGTTCAATACATAAAAATGTAGCAGAAAAGAGATATTCATTTAAAACAAGAAACCTTTTCTAATGACACATATAATCAGAACAATCTGACCACCTGTCAAAGAAATGGAAATCAGCTGAACTTTGAAGATCTAGTGGCCTGCATGGGACTATTGTCATTTAATTCCCGCTCACATGGACTTACTGACCATTACTGCCAGCTTCCCCAGTCTGTCCCTTTTGCTCCTGCTAGGCCACCAAAAAAGTTCATAATAAAGTTTTCAATGAGCCCAAAAATTCAACCCAAGCCTGAAATGACCTGAAGGCCATAGAGCTTGAACATCATCACATGCAATACTTGGTCTGAGTTCAAGTCTTTTTAAGAAATTTTTATGGAGGGTGAAAAATAAACAGTTGATTTCATGTGCAGGTCAGCAGGCTGGCTTCCCTGGCTCAAATACAGGAACTCTAATCAATTAAAGTTAGCCAATCAACCATGTTCCAAAAATAAGATTACCAACGATACCAGGGAAGCTTCAGTGTCATCCTGGAGGGAGAGGCTGGGCCACCAAGGTACAGGTAGCCCTGGATTTAATGATCCGTCTCCCTCTCCACGTTTTTTAAACGATCGGTTCAATTAGTCTGACTGACCATGGCACACTTGTTATTTAGTCGTCGTCGTCATCCTCCACTTATCCGGGTCCAGGTCGCGGGGGCAGCATCCCAACTAGGGAGCTCCAGACCGTCCTCTCCCCAGCCTTCTCCACCAGCTCCTTCGGCAGGACCCCAAGGTGTTCCCGGACCAGATTGGAGATGTAACCTCTCCAACGTGTCCTGGGTCAACCCGGGGGCCTCCTGCCGGCAGGACATGCCCGAAACACTTCCCCGGGGAGGTATCCAGGAGGCATCCTGACCAGATGCCCAAACCACCTCAACTGGCTCCTTTCGATCCGGAGGATCAGCGGTTCTACTCCGAGTCCCTCCCGAATGTCCGAGCTCCTCACCCTATCTCTAAGGCTGAGCCCGGCCACCCTATGGAGGAAACTCATTTCGGCCGCTTGTATCCGCGATCTTGTTCTTTCGGTCATTACCCAAAGCTCATGATCTTAGTTGAGGATTGGGACATAGATCAACCGGTAAATCGAGAGCCTGGCTTTCTGGCTCAGCTCCCTCTTCACCACGACAGATCGGCTCAGCGTCCGCATCACTGCAGATGCCGAACCAATCCGCCTGTCAATCTCTCGATCCCTCCTACCCTCACTCGTGAACAAGACCCCGAGATACTTAAACTCCTCCACTTGAGGTAGGACCTCTCCCCCGACCCGGAGTTGGCAAGCCACCCTTTTCCGGTCGAGAACCATGGTCTCAGATTTGGAGGTGCTGATCCTCATCCCAGCCGCTTCACACTCGGCCGCGAACCTACCCAGCAAGAGCTGAAGGTCAGAGCTGGATGAAGCTAGGAGGACCACATCATCCGCAAAAAGCAGAGACGAGATTCTCCTGCCACCAAACTCGACACACTCCACACCATGGCTGCGCCTAGAACTTCTGTCCATAAAGGTAATGAACAGAACTGGTGACAAAGGGCAGCCCTGGCAGAGTCCAACCCTCACTGGGAAAAGGTCCGACTTACTACCGGCTATGCGGACCAAACTCACGCTCCTCTGGTAAAGGGACTGAATGGCCCTCAACAGAAAGCCACCCACACCATACTCCTGGAGCGTCCCCCACAGGGTACCCCTGGGAACATGGTCATAAGCCTTCTCCAAATCCACAAAACACATGTGGATTGGTTGGGCAAACTCCCATGCCCCCTCCATCACCCTTGCAATGGTATAGAGCTGGTCCACAGTTCCACGGCCAGGATGAAAACCACATTGCTCCTCCTCAATCTGAGATTCAACTATCGATCGGACCCTCCTCTCCAGTACCTTGGAGTAGACCTTTCCAGGGAGGCTGAGGAGTGTGATCCCCTATAGTTGGAACACACCCTCAGGTCACCCTTCTTCAAGATGGGGGCCACCACCCCGGTCTGCCACTCCATAGGAACTGCCCCAGATGACCACGCAATGTTGTAGAGACGTGTCAACCATGACAGCCCTACAACATCCATAGCCTTGAGATACCCAGGACAAACCTCATCCACCCCTGGGGCTCCGCCGCTGTGTAGTTGTTTGACTACCTCAGCAACTTCTGCCCCCGAGATTGGACAGTCCATCCCCAGGTCTCCCGGCTCTGGTTCCTCCGCGGAATGCGCATAGGTGGGATTGAGGAGCTCCTCAAAGTATTCCTTCCACTGTCCGACTATAGCCCCAGTTGACGTCAGCAGATCCCCATCCCCACTGTAAACAGTGTGAGCGAGTTGCTGCCTTCCTCTCCTGAGGCGCCGGACAGTTTGCCAGAGCCTCTTTGGAGCAGATCGATAGTCTTTCTCCATGGCCTCACCAAACTCCTCCCACACCCGAGATTTTGCCTCGGCAACTGCCACTGCTGCACCCCGCTTGGCTATCCGGGACCTGTCTGCTGCCTCCGGAGACCCACAGACCAGCCACGCCCTGTAGGCCTTCTTCTTCAGCCTGACGGCTCCCCGAACCTCTGGTGTTCACCAGCGGGTACGGGGGTTGCCACCATGACTGGCACCAACCACCTTACGACCACAGCTAGCAACAGCCGCCTCAACAATCGCAGAGTGGAACAAGGCCCACTCGGAGTCAATGTCCCCCCATGTTCTCGGGACGCGGTCAAAGCTCTGCCGGAAGTGGGAGTTGAAGACCGTCTTAACAGGTTCTTCTGCCAGGCGTTCCCAGCAGACCCTCACTATGCGTTTGGGTCTGCCAGGTCTACGCGGCATGTTCCCTTGCCATCTGATCCAACTCACCACCAGGTGGTGATCAGTTGACAGCTCCGCTCCTCTCTTCACTCGGGTGTCCAAAACATACGGCCGCAGGTCAGATGATACGACTACAAAGTCTATCATTGACCTGCGACCTAGGCTGCCCTGGTACCAAGTGTACCGATGGGCATCCTTATGTTCAAACATGGTGTTGGTTATGGCCAAACTGCGGCTTGCACAGAAGTCCAATAACGAAACACCACTCGAGTTCAGATCAGGCGGGCCGTTCCTCCCAATCACATCCCTCCAGGTCAAGCTGTCATTACCCACGTGAGCACTGAAGTCCCCCAGCAGGACAATGGAATCCCCTGATGGAGCACTATCCAGCACTCCCAGGGACTCCAAAAAGATTGGGGGTTGGGCCCGGCCGGGCCCCATGGGCGAAAGCCCGGCCACCAGGCGCTCGCTCACGGGCCCTAACCCCAGGCCTGGCTCCAGGGTGGGACCCCGGTAACCCTCCGGGCCGGGTACTCCGACTCTTTGAATTTACATCCATGAAAGATCCTGTGAACCGTTCTTTGTCTCGCCCTTCACCTAAGACCCATTTGTCATGGGAGACCCTACCAGGGGCTCAAAGTGCCCCAGACAACGTAGCTCCTAGGATCATTAGGGCACTCAAACTCCTCCACCACGATAAGGTGACGGTTCAAGGAGGCCTTTGTTATTTCCTTACATCTAATTTGCTTGCTTTACTTTACTTCAGTTTCATATTCTCCAGCCTTCACTTTGTTATCTAGCACAGGTGCACTCTTCCATCTATGGGACCAGCTGTTTTTCTTTAGCTGTCTGCCGCAGCCTTCAAACCACCCACTCCTGCAAGACATGCCATCTGTGACTTCCGTTTCCCAATCCAGGACAACCTGGATATCATGACATGTAGCCTCCATGTTGGTCCACCAAACTTTACGGATTCATTAAAATCGCATATGGAGATATGTTGTACTTCAGCAACACCACAAGCTGCTCTTGTGTTCCTCAACCAGTCTTGAAAATACCAATAAAGCCTTTCATTTAGCAAAATAATACCAACAGAAGATACAGTTTTAATGGAATTATCTCAATCCAATATCAACTGTCTAAATGTTGCTTGGTAATATCAACATGAGCTGAACCCAAGCAGACAGTAGCCTGAGAATGGTCTCAGTGGTTCACTGGTGCAGATGACATGCTTAACTTGATCTTTCCACTTCCAGTGAAGATGACTGATCTGTGTAATGTATAACACCTGCTGGGTCTGAATGCATCTCAAACTCATTTCTGTTTTCCCATCTCATGCACCAGTTCTTAAACAAAGGGCATTTTTAAATATATAATGGCCAAACACTAAACACCATCTCACCCCAAATGCCGGTACGCTGGTGGGAAATGTAGTCCTCCAGGTTGGCAAGAAAGGCCGTCTCACCACCTCGATGGTCGACGCGCCCATCGTCCACAAGGAGGAAAGCTTGACAGTTGCTGTCTAAGCACTTTGAGTCTTCAAGTGAGTTCTGAACATAGTAATGAGCAGGAAAGCTCCCCTTCAAACAGACAGCACAACAACACATGTTATTATGGTGTCAGTACACCTGACACCTGTAGGGAGGAGCTAAGTGCAAAGCATACCTTGGGGTTGACGAGCTGCTTCCTGTTGTGGACCAGACCCCAGGGGGCCACACCAATACCTATGACTTTCTTCTGGGACAGAGCTTTGGCTGCAGCCCCGTGATCCCTTACAGCCTCGCCCACACAGCGGGAGACACCATCCCTCAACCCCCCAGTCAGAATCCAGGCACCTGGACAGAACCAGAGTTAGTGTGGATACAATCTGAATGGGATCTGTGGGTTATTAACAGATTAACCAGTTATCAGAATCAGGATCACACAAACAAAGAGTGTGTCCTGGAGCACCCGAGTCTCAGCCAGTGTGTCCCAGATGTAGCGTTGGAAAAGTCCAACAAGGTTATTTGTCCACAGCAACGTCAGAGGTCAACAGACAGTCAAGTGTCCAGCAGCTCCTTCTGCTAGTTTACCTTCCCCAGCCTTGCAACCGGGAAGAGTGAGCCATAACCACCCCCACCCCCGAACATGAGAACGTGAGATTATCCTGAGATTATGAATTACTGCAGCATCTAAATTACCTCCAGGTTTATGGAGAATGTTTGAATCTGATTGAGACCCACAGAGAAGGGGTCCAACTACTGAACAGTCAGCTGCTAACATGGAAGCTGTGACACTTCCAGCTGAAGGAAGGAATGCAGAGGATGAGGATGATGACCTGTAGGAACTAAAGAACTCACATCCAACTTCTAACCCACTGCTCTAAGTAATATTTGCTTTTTTTATTTAGCTGACACATATGCATGGATGTAATTTTTTTTTGGGGGGGGGGGGGGGGGGGGGGACATGTCCCCCCCCACTTTTTCCAAAGTCAAGTTTGAACCCTAACCCTAACCCATCCAAAAACATAATTACGCTATATTAAATTGACACTGGTTGAGCTCTAGGACCAAGTGGAAAACAACCGTTTGTGATGAAGCCTGTTTCCCATTAGAACATACTGTAAAGATCCCCCCCCCCACACACACACTTCTGAAGCGAAAATTACATCCATGCACATATGATGCGTCTTTTTAAAGCAGATAAGTTCTGGAAGAGTATTTTTCTTGTTTCCTTCACAGTCTGAAAATGAATTGCTTATTTTTAAAACTAGATGATGGCTTGTGTCTCTAGATCCTGTCTGCTCTGTTGTTGTCTGATCCACTCCCAGCGGTCTACATTCATCTAGTTGTTTACAGATCTTACCTGTGCTCTGTGAAGCCCTAACCAGCCCTTTCCTCAGGATGTCTCTAACCCATGGCTTTATCATCTCATGGGCTTCACCCCCCACCAGAGACACCACCAGGTTGGGTGAAGGCAGGCCCCAGACTTTTGTCATCAAGTTGTAGATTACTTCTGGTGGCGTGTCGCATGAAAGTCGCAGAAACTAAATGGAATGAGATCAGCTGGTTCATTAAATCACTCTAACAAAATATAATAAAACACATAAAAATATCCTGTGGAGGAAGACTCCAGTCAGCGCATTCCCTATTCATTCAAAACTGTGTTCTTGCTTCAGTCATGTGAACTTCTACATTCACCGAACACCCTACAACTGAGGCCCAAAGTTTAAACATGAACACATTTATGAATGTGCTGACTCAGCTTTTAAAATGTCAGATTAAATAAATTAACACCTGAAAGATCTAAAGAGAAGCAGATAGATTACAATTAAACACCATGGAATCTCATAAAACCAATTTCTGTGTGTGAAGAAGGATCTAGGTTCCACTCACGCTGGTGTGAGAGCCTCTGCAGTACAGTGAGGAAAAGACATTATGAAGATGGTCTGGTGTGAAGAAGGACAATAAAGGAGCCAATTCTCTCCAGACAGACAGATGTCCTGCTGTAGGACTGGGCACTGGACTGTTGAGGACTGTTGTGATTGTTTGAAACCTCTGAAACAACAATCACCTGGAGAAGAACAGGTGGCCACTCCCATCAGTCTTGTGTCCTCCAACAGTAAAGCGCCATGAGACCTTTTGTGTGTGTGTGTGTGTGTGTGTGTGTGTGTGTGTGTGTGTGTGCGCGCGTGTGTGTGCGCGTGCGCGCGTGATGCTTCTCAGCTATGGGAGTGGACTCACTCACAGTTCTGCCTCAGAGCAGCCATGAATAAAGAATGGAGCCTAAACACCCTCCCTGAGGAACTCCTCCAGCCATCCAACAACAGCTTGGTGATGAACAATGTCTACTCCAGCATGATGGAGCACCGGGCCAGAAGGATTAAGTCAGAACTACAGTAAGTGGGTCAACATGATTTCTATGTTTGGCTCCCACACTTTCTCATCTTAAAAGTGCCATTTCAGAATAGCTTTTGGCTGGTAATCGGTCTGTTTTGTTTCATCAGTGGCCTTTTGCGTCCCTTTTAATCTTGTAACTGTTAAATATTTTTTATCTTAAATTTTAACTTTGCTTTTAATCTTTTCTTCTGTTGGATGTCTTTTGTCAAGGGTAGGGAACCCTGGTGCTGGAGAGCCGCTTTCCAGTATATTTTAGTTGTTTCCTTGCTTCAACACAGCTGAGTCACCTGTGCAGCAGCTAATCAGGCTCTGCAGAAGCCTTTCAATCACCTGCTGATTTAAATCAGGAGTGGTGAAGCAGGGAAACTTCTAAAACATGCTAGATAGCAGCTCTCTAGGACTGGAGTTTCCTACCCTGTCTTATGTGTTTTAGCTCTGATTGTTACACTTGTTGATTTTGAGAGCTTTTAGTACTGTTTAGATTTTGTTTAGCCCTATCTTGTGCAGCACTTTGGTCGGCTGACATGCTGATTTAAATGTGCTCTACAAATAAAATGAATTGGATTGGATGTTTAGTCCAGGAGACTCCAGGGAGGCCGAGCAGGTCGAGGGCGTACGGGGCACGTCGGAGAGCCAGCGGCACCCTGTCGCCTTGGAGCCTCGGGAGGGCGGGTGGTGATAGGTGGAGGGGCGGAGCGCAGCGATGGGTACCAGGTCCCCACCGATGCGCAGAGTCGCCTCGGGAGAGAGGGGAGGCTGTGACACCTCCTGGCCCTCTCCCGGACGCGCACTGTCGCCGGTGGGGTTGGCCCGCCGCTCCGACGCCCCTCCTCCAGCCCGTCCTCCTGAGAAATTGTAGTCCACCAGAGGCAGGAGGACAAACATTGATGATGAAGAATGGGCTCCACCAGTCAGAATCTGGACCGGTGTCGGTACAGGATCTGCTCGGGTGCAAGATTGGCTCGGGGTCCTTCAACTGCCGATGACGTCAAAGTAGTTGATTGGATGAACATGAACCTTACGGAAGTTACGTTATCACGTTACGTTGTTATCACGTTACGTTGGTCCAGGCAAAATTTGGAAAGTTGGAAAAGTTGGAAAGATGGACAACTTTTACAAAGAAATCCATCATTACCTCTTTGAAAATAAACTTTTAGCATAGAGCTGCATGTACATTAGGGCTGAACGATTAATTGCATGTGCAATTAAATTGCGATGTGACAAAAGAGATTTTCTAATCGCAAAAGCTGCAATTTGGCAGCGAGTGGTTAGCGCAATGCTAATGTACATGGAAAAATCCGTAGGAATGCTAATGCTAATATCACCAATTACATTCTTACAAATTATGAATTAGCAGGCTCAAGACTCACCTTTTTAGCTTAGCTTTTAATCGATATCTGTTTTTAGCAGCATTTCCTGTTTCATTAATTAACTTATAAATGTTCTTATTTTCGTTTTATTGGTATTAGACATTTATGTTTTAGTGTTTTACTATCTCTTTAATCAGTTTTATTAGTTATTTTACCATCCAAATGAGCTATTATTATTAATATTAATATTATTATTTGAGTATTTATGTGCATTTTACTTATTTTAATACCAGTGTTTCCTCTGTGGGGCCCTCTGCCTTGGGGGTGGTGGTTGACTGTGGCGGCCTGGGCGCTCCTAGGGGTGTGCTTAGGCAGTGGTGGGGGTTTCTGCCCTCCCTCCCTGGGTGCCTTGGGTTGGTGCCTTAGCTGCTGCCATTGATCAACTACTGCCGAGGCAGATGGCTCACCTGATAGTGTTTCATTCATTACCTAACCCATCTGAACTCAGCCTAGTGTTTACTTATGCTGTTTTTTAGGTTGTGTGTGTGTGTGTGTGTGTGTGTGTGTGTGTGTGTGTGTGTGTGTGTGTGTGTGTGTGTGTGTGTGTGTGTGTGTGTGTGTGTGTGTGTGTGTGCCTGGCAAATGGGTTGTGGTATGTGGGTGTAACTGTCACAGTTATTTTTATATTTGTGGGGAAGGGATGGGAATATTGGGACATTTTAATCTGTGAAGCACTTTGAGCTGCATTTTCTTTTGTATGTGTAGGGGGTAAATATTGTTGCTTTTAAGCTTAATATATTACCTTTACTTATGACCAATAAGCTGTGATACTCTATATAAATATAGGTGTCAACATGCTTGGTCTTGATAGGACTTTACGGGTGAACAGTGAAATCATGTTCAGCTACTTTGCTCAAAACTACCCACTCACACCCTGTTGACTCATTTCGCATACATCTCAGGTCAAAGGTGACACTGTAATTTCCTTCCTCAGACTTCAGCGGGGATTGAGCATGGTTTGTGTGCTGAAAGTGTACATGTCTGTTAAACAGATCCACTCACAGGAAAGTGTCTGCGTCCAGATCCAGAAAACTCCAGCTCTCCAAAAGCATCAGTAGGATATTCAGACGAGTGCTGTCGACTGTCCCACCGGGTGAGAGCCGCTGTTTGAAAGGAGTCGTCTGTGGCGTTGGACTTATGCAACTCCTGCAATCTACCACACTGACACAGTGTTCCATCACTGACACACACATACACACACACACACACACACACGCACGCACGCACGCACGCACGCACGCACGCACGCACACACACACACACACACACACACACACACACACACACGCAGAGGTAACAGAAATAAATATAATACGTTTTCTTTTAAAACACCTTTTATGACACCCAAGGGCACTTTACAACAATCTAGATAAAATAAAACAAGGTAAACTGCACAAAAATATCTGAAACACTAAAGAGAAAATTGAAAACTAATAATAGTTCAAAATCAACAGTAAAATGTAACTAGGTGGTAAAAGCTTGTCTGAAGCAGTGGGTTTTTAATTTTGATTAAAAAAGACGGAGAGAATGAGTGGTGTGGAGGTCAGGGGGAAGAGAATTCCAGAGGTGGGGAGCAGAGCGGCTGAATGCTCTAAGAGGAACTAAAGTGAGCGTCAGTGTAACCCACACTGTGTGTGTGCGTGTGTGTATGTGCGCTCGTGCGTGCCCGTGCGTGTCCGTGTGTGTGCATGCGTGCGTGTGTGTGTGTGTGTGTGTGTGTGTGTGCATGTACGTGTGCGTGTGTGTCGGCCTACAGCAGGAAGATAGGAGACGCAAGTCTAAGGAGGTTTAAGGTGGGTTCTGCAAGTTAGGACCTGTTGTCTGTGAACATAGACTGTTGGCTTGCAATTGAGCCAGGCGTGCTGCATTTTTACATTTAAAGCAAACATTGTGGTTTTAGAGATGTTCTCAGACCTGCTGACAGTTTCAACTGTGCACCTCAGTTTTCCTCAGAGCGTCAATAGACTTGTTGCTGTTGTTTCATTTGTCAGCCAGTCGGATGTCAGCAGTTATTAGAACATCATTAGAACCAGAACATTTGTCTTACTGAATGAAAAGGGAATATTATTATGTCATGCAGACAAAATGTATTAAAAAAAAAATATATATATATATATATATATTTTTTTTTTCAATAAAGTTTAGGTGTCAGGCATGGCATTATAGCAGAAGCTATAACTCTCCACCACTGAGAGAACACATGTGAGACTTGTCTTCACAGTCGGAGAGGACACGATAAAAAAATAAAAAAATAAAAAATAGTCCTATCAGGTCTTTTTGGCCTGCGGGTCTCCAGAGGTGGCTGATGGGTTCAAGCAGGCCAAGCAGAATATAGGGTGGTCGCAGAGGCAAAAGCCTGAGCTTGGGAGGAGCTCGGTGAGACCACGGAGCAAGACTTCCGTACAGCTTCGAGGAGATTCTGGTCTACCATCCGGCGCCGTAGGAGGGGAAAGCAGTGCGCTACAAACACTGTTTATAGTGGAGACAATGTGCTGCTGACCTCTACTCGGATGTTGTCGATCGGGGGCAGAGTACTTGGAAGACCTCCTTGATCCCCCATCATCTTTCAGAGAGGAAGCAGAGCCTGGGTACTTTGGGTTGGTCTCTCCAATCTCTGGTGGTGAGGTCACTGAGGTGGTAAAAAGCTTCTCTGTAGCAAGGTTCCAGGGGTGGATGAGATCTGTCTAGAGTTCCTTAAGGCTCTGGGTGTTATAGGATTGTGTTGGCTGACGAGGCTCTACAATTTTGCATTGACATCAGGGGAATTTCCACTGGATTGGCAGCCTGGGCTGATGGTCCCCCCCCTTAAAAGGGGGACCACAGGAGGTATTCCAACTACAGGGCGATCACACTCCTGAGGCTCCCGGGTAAGGTCTATTCAAGGGGTCTGAAGAGGAGGGTCTGATGGGTTGTCGAGCCTCATATTCAGGAGGAACATGGGGCCAGCTCGATACCCTTAGGGGGTCATGGAGGGTGCGTGGGAGTTTGCCCAGCCAATCTACATGTGTTTAGTGGATGGGGAGAAGGCGTTCAAACGCGTCCCTCGGGAGGCTCTTTGGGGATTACTTTGGGCCCACTGATAAGGAATGTTAGGTGTGTCTGCATGACACACCTTACATGACCGGTGTCAGTGCTTGGTCCACATTGCCTGCAGTAGAGGAGTTTAATTATTTCAGTGTCTTTTTGGGTCTTCTTCAAAAATGAGGGAAAGATGGAGCACGAGGTGCTGCATCTGCAGTGATGCGGGCGTTGTACCGATCTGTCGTGGTGAAGAGAGATTTACATTCCAATCCTCACCTATGGTCACGAAATATGGGTAGTGACTGAAAGAATGAGATCGCAGATACAAGAGGCTGAAATTAATCTCCGTAGGGTGTCTAGGCTCTCCCTTAGGGATAGGGTGAGAAGCTTGGTCATTTGGGAGGAGCTTGGAGTAGTCCTTCAGCACAAGGAAGTGATAACTTTAAAGTAAAAATATACATCACAGAAGGATATTTATACATTGTGAGAGAGCAAACCGTGTCTGCAAGTGCACAACGGTGTGTCCCGTTTACGAGTATGAAGTTTGAAGCATGTGCGTAAACTGCGTGCATCGGTTTTGCCACTTTATAGGTAGCATAGATAAGTGTCTTGCCCAAGGACACAACGACTGCGACTGTTTAAGCGGGACTTAAACCTGCAACTCTCCATTTACGGGGTGCACGTTTAACTCATCTGCTTCTCTGTTGCCACATATAGTTACAGAAAACTGCACACGTAAAGATTAATGCAGGTTATGAAACAAGTATCACGCAGATCTAGTGAGTTCACTTTCTGTGTGAAATACAGCATCCAACAAAACTAATTTAGTAAAAATCAGTATAACCATCAGGATTCAGTTAAACTTGCATACAGATAGTATCTTTTGTTATTTATTTATTTTTCCCGTGTCCTGTCTGGCTGTGAAGCAAACAGAATTAATATCTGAATGCTGATGACGAGCCTTACAGATTTACTCTCAGATGGAGCATCAAAGCTTCTGCTTTTAATGTCACGCCTGATACTTAAAACTTTATTGTTGAATGCTTGTAATTCCGACCAGACACGGAGACAGAGGTGAAAGAGAAAGGAAGAGACAAAAGGAAGGTGTGTGTGTGTGTGTGTGTGTGGGGGGGGGGGGGGGGGGGGGGGGGTCCACAAAAATAAACAACCAATGACGAACAAGAGTCTGCTTCTAGACCTGCAGAAAACGGACACACAACAATACAACAGGAGCAAATTATCACTGCGTCAACTTGATGAGGAAATATAAAATCAACATTGTTTTACTGAACAATCACGCAATAATAAATCAGTGCATTTAGTACCAACCACAACCTTAAGACGTGTTGAAAATGCCCAAGCCAATACTTATGAGAGCACCATGTGAGCACCTGTGTGTGTACACGTGCTTGTATATGTAAGGTTTTTCTATAGGAGCGTCCAATAGAGTGTGTGAGGGGCCACAGATCTGCTCCCAAAGATGTGTAGGAGATGGAGGGAGCTCCAAGTCCCAGAGATCCAGGAGCTGCCCCAGAGCACAGGGACCCCAAGGAGATTGCGACCAGAAAAGCCCATGCCCCCCTCGAGAGGCGCAGAGGATCCCCCCAGAGGGCCACAACCAGCAGCCGGCAGAGTCCCGGGGGACATCAGTGGCAAGCCCACAGGCCCGCCCACAGGCCCGCCCGCAGCCTCCCACCCCCAAGCCGGCCGAGCCCGGAACCCAGCGACCAGGGACCCAGGGGCGACGAGCCCTGCTGGGGACCCAGCAGAGTCCAGGGACCCAGATCCCACCAGGCAGCCACCGGGATTAATCAGGCAGACACCAACAATCTTAAACCCCCTGACCCGAGAGCCATGAACACTCAGGCAGACCAAGGCACCGCACTCCACACCAAATGTGGCAGGGGAAGGGCAGGCGAAGATGTATAGCAACAAAAGAAGTCCCAGGAGAGGGGAGGAGTCAAAGGCCCCACCTGACATTTACAGTCATACACAAACACAGTCACACACTCCCTCCCTCATGCTCACACATACACATACAACCAAAGACTTACAAAAATGCACTCCAGACACACACTCATGCTCCCCATACACACCCTATTCACTCTGGTCCCGGTACTGCTGCACAAGGGTACAACCATCACCGGTTCCCAGAGTTCGACCCTTTCTGCTGGGGTGCTGATGAGCAGGCCCTCCCACCCAACGCCGAGCAAAGCAACTCACCACCCCAACCAGACGGCCAGATCTCCCTCCTAGCCTTCAGCCCCGGAAAGCCAATTGACAACAGAGGTGTGCTAAGACCCCTAGTCTCCCTCCGCCTGCTCCAATATTGTGTTGGTGCGTGTTGATGAGGTGTATTCGTGGCTGTGGTGAGCGGGCAGTGTAGGCATCGTCTGGCCAATGCCAGATACAGATAGTTTCAATAAGAACTAACATTTATTTCCACATGCCGTGACTAGTAAATTAAAACAGAAAATAGTAAATAAAAGATAAACATTCAATATACAGAATCCTCATACAGTAAGCGAAAATAAGTTTACCTCGAGTCTTCAACAAACGTTGTGCACTCTCTTTTCTTAATTATCTTTGGAATCCAGCTCTGAAAACATAGACACAAGTTGACAAAAATTATTTTTACAAAAAAACCACGAAAAGCAATTAAGAGGACCATTTTTTTACAATTGGGAAAACATTTTTGTCTGAACCCAGGCTTCTAAATATCAGGACATCATAAATTGGTTGTAAATTGCTGCAATACAAATTCACCATTGTAACGTGAGGAAATATGGGTTTTCTGTCACAAAGGTGGTGTTGGACTAAGCTGTGTCAAAGCTGGGTCGCTGAGAACTTTCACCCACAGATTAAGACCTGAACGCCAGCGAGTCTGGGAGGAAACCATAACATCTGCCACCTGCGGTACCAGAAGAAGGAGTTCTCATGGACAAGTAGTCATAACAAGTCAAAACATAAAGTTTAAACTTCCTTTTCTTGTTTTGAATGTTAAAAGTTTAATCATCAATTTGCTCATTATAAATGTGTTTTAATCAAATGAATGACTATTATGCTTTGGGGTAATTATAAGAGATTTAATGAATCCATAATTAGATAATGTTGAGAGTGTTTGTTGCTGACCTTCACACACACTCAAGCACACAAACATTCACACACACCCACACACATCTGCTCACAGTAAACTCCAAAACACATTTGCTGACGCACACATTTGCTTTGAGAAGAGAAAGGTTTTTGGTAAGTTTCAGTCTTATGGTTTCAGTTCGTGCTTGACAACGAAAGAGAGAGGACGTGTGAACAACCGCTAACGGGGCACGGAGCCCATTGGCTCAATCCCCCCCCCCCCCCCCCCCCCCCCCCCTCTCACGCTGTTTCTGCCAAGCCAGGCAGAATAGCTGAGTCGCAACTTCTAACGCAGACTCATTACCGAGTCTTTTGATTTCTGAGTGAACTTAACTTAAAGCGCATCGACAAAACGCTTTACCATCAACGTGTACCGAGGGCAACTCTGGACCGGTTCGCGGCACATCTTTGTCTTCTTTGCCAGCCAAGGTGCCCTGGATGAAACATCCTAAGGTGACGTCCCGGGTCCAACAGAGGGTCCGATTTTCGGTGAGGCAAAACACGACAGATGGCGTTTTGATGCATCTTTTCCAACTAAACCTAAGTTTATTCAAACCATCACTTTTCACTCAGACACCTGTTTCTTCCTGAAGCAAAATCAGGTGCACACACACGCATTCATCTCACCTCATGTTCAATTCTCACGACACTTTGCACCCACACGCATCCATAACCACATCCTATTACTCTCAATCTTCATTCACCAACAGAAGGTCTATTTGAGCAAGAACATAATATCAACTGTTAAAGATTGTCCCACAAGTTGCCAATGTTGATTGTTATTTCCTGTTTGTCAGTTTCAAAATCATTAGTTTAATTTGAAGAATTAAAACTTTTAATTGTCAAACTGGTTTCCTCATTGAACTGAAACACAGACACACAGATATTATCGTCAGTTTATCGATGAAAACAACCTTTGAGTCTTCTTAACAATATAACTGAGTAAAGACAGTTTCTCCTTACAATATAACTGAGCCAGTCAATATTTTCTTTTCAAATATGGCTGAGCCAGCCAAATTTCTTTACACCATGTTGTCATTTATTAAAAGAAAACTTTGCAGTTTGGCTTGTTCTTAGCAGTCCATATTGTTTGTTTTAATTTGCCACTGTAAGAGCAAAACTGAAACTCTCCTCCTCGCTGTTCCTTCATGTTTTTAACACCTTAATCGACTTAATCTAACCTTAACACACATACACACACACACACACACACACACACACACACACACACACACACACACACACACCAAGTAGTGTGTCTATGGTTACATTGTGATTTCTTAGTAAATATTCTATTTGGTGAGAGATAAACTTTATTTTATTTATCCTAGTGAATCTATAATTAAACGGGTAAACTAGTAGTAGCACATTCAATGTCAAAGAGAGTAAAACGTTATTATCAGGAGAGGGAGAATGTTTATGTGGTTAGCAGCAGCGTGCTAGACGATGGCCCCCTCCATGAGGCCACCACAGCTCAGCAGAACATCATTGTAGCTTCTTCTGGAGAGAAAAACACTTAGAGAGAAAAATAAAGTCAACAGCTGAAATAGCAGGAAATAATACAGTTAAAGATCAGATTGTAGAAGAAAGTAGAGTGTGGAAAGTGGTCAGTATGTCCTCCAGCAGTCTAACCCCTTCTTTCCACCAGAGCCGTCAGCAGCACGTCTTGCTTGCGTAAGCTGCTGCTTGGCTCTTCCCACGAGACGCGAAGCAGCAGGGGAGCAGCTGTCACCGACAGAGCACGAAGTCACACGAGCAGTGTTGGGAGTAACGCCGTATAAATATAACGGCGTTACTAATGGCGTTCTTTTTTAGGTAACGGAATCATCTAATTAATTACTTTTCCCACTGTTGCAATGCCGTTACCGTTACTGGGGACGGGAGGTTGTGCGTTACTATGTGCTTGTCGAACGTTGAGCAACAGTGTGAGGCTTTCTGACCGCCACACTTCAGCTGCAGCCTGGGAGAGAGAGGTGTCGGTAACGCACTTACAAACACGATGATGATTGGCCGGGTGGGCGGAGACCCTCACTGTCTCAGTCACTGCATGCCGCAGGCTACAGAGAAGTGATGGGAATAACGCTGTTTAAAATAACCACGTTACTAAAAAATTTTTTTTTTCAGTAACGAGCAAACTAATTAATTACTGTCTTCTTTTATCCAAACGTCGTTTCTGTTACTGATAAGGAAATGTGTGCATTAAGCAGCGTGGTGTGTTGAAGCTGTCATCAGCTGATCAGGAGCTAAAGAGGTAGATGCTTTCATCCAAGCACATCACGGCCCGTGAAGAACAAGGAAGACGTGATGAATAGTCTACGGCTGCAGACCCCCCGCAGATTCGTTGCTGCAGCAGCTGATCTTCTACCATCCTAGATCATCCAGCTGTAACCTGTTTCTGATCATGTCTTTGGTCCCGCTGTAACACTGACGCATCAGTCTCAGACGTCATGGAGCTCAGGTGTTATTAGAACTACCTGTGTGTGTTCACCACCCAGCTTCAGCTCTTCTGTGGTTGGGTCTGACCCAAGTTAGTAAATGTAAGTCCTCCATCAGGCTTGTGCCTCTTCTAGTGTCATTTTAAAGGATTTTATTTATTTATTTAACCGTTACTAGATTAGCAGCAACAGAAATGCTACTAAAAACACAATCATGTGAAGCTGGAAAAATGAAAATACTGTGCAAAATTACATTTATTTCTGTAATTTAACTAGACTGAGAGACCATTTAAAGGCTCGGGAACCTCTACAGGTGTTTCTATTTGCAATTTTAAATTTTAGCTGATTAGGGTGTTGTTAAATATCACACGGTGACATTTTAATAGTCTAGATAAGTGTAATGCTCCTGTTAGTAGTTCCTCCTGTCAAGTGCTTATTTATTTAAATTATTCAGGTTTATAAAAAACATTTGGACATACATTTTATTATGTTCCAGTAATTAGTCATTTATATTTCACTATTGTAGTAATTCTTGCATGCTTTAATAAAAAAAAATAACTAAGTAGTTATTTTTCTTGGTAGTTGCTTTTATAATCTTGTAACTCAGTTAGTTACGTTTTTAACAAAGTAATCAGTAACTATAACTAATTACTTTTTTAAAGTAACGTTCCCAACACTGCACACGAGTGACCTCGTCAGTAAACACAACAACAAGCAGGAGAAAACTACAACATGGCTCCAAATTGTTTGTGTTTTATGTTCTGTCCATTTTATAATAGCCAATACGGACCTGAAAAACAAAGGAGACCGCTAGCTAGGTGATGACTTCTCACGGGGCCGCACAGTTAGTAACTTTTTTTTAAAGTAAAGCAACCGGAAGGCAGTACGTTTCTTTATTCTGAAAATCTCGGGAGCTTCGCTCCGTTTCCGCGTCCGATTTCCTGTCTTTCCTTCCCCAAAAATGTCGAACTTGACCCGTTTTAGAGGCGTCGCACGTAGAAAAAAGAACCGGCGCATAAGGGCCGCGACATACTGCTCCTGAGACGCAGCCGACTCGCGCTGCTGACAGCTCCAGTGGAAAAGGTTCTGTTGACCACAGCGGTTCCTACCAGCAACAGTGTTCAAGCTGATGGCCCCCTCCATGAGAGCACCAGTAAAGTGCTGCTGATGGCTCAGGTGGAAAGAAGGGGTAAGCCTATAGCAGCATAATTACAGAGATAACTCTGGATAACCTAGCCTTTTAGATGGAGGCATGTTGGAGGCAGGGCAAGGGAGAGCCGTCTTTACCGACTGTACACTCCACCTTCCTCTACTCCCCCACTTGTCCAGATCTGGGCTAACATCAGATTTTAACCATATGCCCTATCAAATAAAAATGTTTTAAGCCTACTCTTAAAAGTAGACAAGATGTCTGTCTCACAGACTAAAGCTGGGAGCTGGTTCCACAGGAGAGGAGCCTGATAGCTAAAAGATCTGCCTCCTATCCTATTTTTAGATATTCTGGAAACCACCAGTAAACCTGCAGTCTGAGAGCAAAGTGCTCGGTTAGCAACATATGGAACAATCAGATCACTGATGTATGATGGAGCTTGATTATTAAGAGCTTTATATGTGAGAAGGAGGATCTTAAAATCTATTCTGAATTTAACAGGCAGCTAATGCAGGGAAGCTAAGCCAGGAGAGATATGATCTCTCTTTTCAATTCTCATCAGAACTTTAGCTGCAGCATTTTGGACAAGCTGAAGACTTTTAACTACATTCTGTGGACTTCCTGAGAGTAATGGATTACAGTAATCCAGTCTTTATGTAATAAATGCATGAACTAGTTTTTCAGCATCATTCCTGGAAAGGATGCTTCTTATCTTAGCAATATTCCGAAGGTGGAAAAAGGAAATCCTACAAACCTGTTTAACTTGGGATTTGAATGACATGTCCTGGTCAAAGATAGCACCAAGTTTCCTTATTTTGTTTTTGGAGACTAATTTAATGTCATTAAGGTCAGGTGATTGATGAAGCAATTTCCTTTTCT